TATATATATATATATATATATATATATATATATATATATATATATATGGAGTTGTAAACCCTTCCAACACTCTTGCAATATTCTAAACAATGTTTCTAAACTCTAAACGCTCTAAAAGAGCACATGATGTCATGATCTCTGCTCTCTCCGTCACCTGCCAGCGCTGTCGGCCACGCCCACTTCTCCTCTGCAGAGCGGAGATATGACACACTGCAGTAGGGAGCTTCTCCTGCAGCTCTGGGCTAAACACAGGTGCAGCAGGTGCTTAAATAATTTTAAATAAAATTATTTTAATAAAAATTCCATGCCGATCGTGCGGCTCATCCATCAATCAATTGTGTGTCATGTCCAATCTTATTTTGAAAAACCGTGATAGAGCAAGTCCGCGAAAAACGAACCGCGAAGTAGCGAGGGACTACTGTAATGCACCAATATAAAAATTTTGAAATACCTATACATTTTAGTCCTGTCTTCATATAAATATCTGAAGTATTCAATGCAATATGTTTCTTGCACTCATGTTTCTCAATAATTATAAATAAGTCAGCAAAATTTTAGTCCACACATTTATATGTGTGTGAGTAATTCAGTTTCTTTAACACTTTTAAAAGTCACACAATTTGTTTTTTTACTTTAAAGCATGTCAAGGTAATTATTTTAATTGAATGTGTACTTAAAATGATTCATTGATGGGAAATTGGGCAGAATTTTCTTTTAAGGCAGTGCAGCGTTATCTAAAAGCACACATTTGTTGTAGATGCTGACATCGAATTTAAAAGTAATAAGGTACAATACATATTAAAAACTGGTCACATGATTGTGTATCACAGAAATGCCAACAATAAGTTGTCATTTACCTTTAAGTATAAATTGTGCTCCTAACATTAGATAATATATTGTATAAAACAACACTAATTTAAAACATCAAAACAAACCCACAATAAAATATGAATGCACAACTGTTCATATCAGGGTCGGATTTTTAATTTGATTTATTTATTTATTTTAAATTTTGCAGACAGACATCTGCAGCAAACAAACTTCACCCTGATCCAGGAGGTGGTACTTTGTTCTTCAGAGACTTACTACACCTTCTGCTGTGCATCTTTGTGGAGGAGGTTTCATGCTGCAGCAGGATAATGAGGCCAAATGCGGCTCAAAGCTGTGCAACAACAACTCAAAGATTAAAGTAGACCAAGCACAGATTTTACGATTTTCATCAACTTGAGCACCGTTATCATGAAGAGCAAAAGGTGAATACTAAATAGACCTTAGATGAATCTACATTTTTCAAAATTATTTACACATTGTTGATATCATTAGTGATTGAAGATGCTAGAACAACCTTTAAGCAAAGAGAAGTACATCATCTGCTCTGGTGTTTACAGAATATTGCATGCTTAAAACTGAATCCTGGATGCACACCAAGTATAAAACCTAATTATTTCAATATTACCTAACTTGACAGCAGAGCAAATATTTATAAAATATGTTCTAATAATTGTATTTCATTGTGTATTAGCTTCTTTCTTCATCTAACAAGGCTGAACCAGGTCCTCTGGACGGATTCATCTTTGTTGAAAAGTTTTGCCTTTTGTCTAAAAGACTTCTTCAGTCTGAGGAGCTTATGAACAGCACCTTCTCATACTGGTTGATCCACTATGAGAAGGTGCTGTTCATAAGAGTGAGTTTGTTGCAGCTCCTCAGACTGAAGAAGTCTTTTGGATAAAGGGTGAAACGTTTCAACAAAAGCTTTAATAACAATACAGGCTAAATTTGGCTTTCGTTAAATATAAAAAAGTTTTCAAAAAATAAAAAATAACCAAAAAATACTTTAATATAATGGTAGATGGATGATAAATGATCAAAGTTCATGCTCAATAATCGAGGTAAACAATATAGCAATGTTCAATCAGGTCACCTGGATGTTTTTTTTTTTGAGAGACGTTTCGCCCTTCATTCACAGGGCTTCATCAGTCTGAGGAGTCACAAACAAACTGTTTCCCTGCCAAGCAGTACACTCCTACAGTGGACCAAGCAGTTTGTTGGTGATAAGATAGTGTCCGGGGACTGTCCTCTCCCTCATCGACTCCTCCCAGGCAGCCCCAGCCAAAGTTGTTCAAGACATCAAAGTTCATGCTCAATAATCTGCTTGGTGGGGAAACTGTATGCGACTCCTCAGATTGATGAAGCCCTTCAGATGAAGGGTGAAACGTCTCTCAACAACAACAACAAAAAAAAGAAACTGGCCAGATGACCTGACTGAACATTGTTGGATGATAAGTTTAGTTTTGTAAGAGTCTAAAGTCAAACATTAAGGAACAACGTCAAACAAACAGTTGAAATCCATCCACCCTAACCCGCTTCTTCCTTTTCGTGTCTCAGGAGTTACTGGTGCCCATATCCAGCAGTTATTGTGCGCAAGGCGGGGTACACCCTGGACAGATCTCCAGTCCATCACAGGGACACATAGAGACCAACGAGACAAACAACCATTCACTCCATCACTCACACCTAGGGACAATTTAGTTACCAATCAGCTGAAGCTGAGCAGCTGAATTCCTTTAATAACATTATTGTTGTGTTAAGACTGTTTCATTGTTCAAGTTTGAATTAGTTGTCTAAGCTGTATGCCCCTTTACTTACAATCTTCATGGTTTTCCAAATTAAACTCATCCATCCACACGACACCCTCCACCCATTTCTTCAAAACACGCCACATCCAGCACTGTTATGTTCATAAACTCCAATGATGACTAAGTGAGTAGCAGCATTCAAATTGTACTCAGCAGCTTTATAAATATATTGCAGGGGTTTACCCACATCCACTGATTACACTTTCATTTAAGTCTAAACGTCCCTCTGTTACAGATTGATGACAAATTTTCCTACTCTTTTATGATAAACGTATTAAATTTTCAAGATGTGTATAACTTTCTGTGGAGACACCAAGTTGTGTCGCTGGTTTTGGCGAAATAAAAACAAAAAAAACTTTTGGTAAAAAAAAAAAAACACACACAAAAAACAAACCTAGGTTTTCCTACTTACTTCTTCTCTTGCCGACATCCCCTTTGGAGGTGGCAGCTTCATTGAGCAGAACCATCCCCATGGTGATTGCAGCATCTGCAACAATGTTGTCAAGGAAACAAGATACATACAAGACAGAGCACACTGGAGATACGTAATGACCCAGAAGGAACTTCTGGACATAAAAGACAATTTGCAAATAAGCACATATAAACACACGTGCAGAGCAGCACTCAACCAGACTAGAAAGAGTCAATCAAAATGTAAATGACAGGAATGAGCTCACTGATGGAACAATGTCAAAACCACCCTACAGTACATATCAGTGTAAAACCTTCAGCTATCAATGTGACTGTATTAAGGAGAGTTAATTATACTAACAATTTGAAAGTTTGTATGTTTTTGTGCATTTAGTTATTTTTATAAGCATACTTGGACAGAAAATATATCCTGCATGACTTTAAGTATTAAAATAAAGCGAATTATTCATGTTCTGAGTTCAGGAGAGTGCACTGATAATATGGTAGCTACTGGCAACAGATAATTTGTTCTTTCTCTTTTTCTAATTAATCAAACACACAGAAGAGCTAAGAAGTGATGTCTTACCCTTTGAGGAATAACAACAGGCTCAACATTCTTATTTAAAAAAATTTATATATAAAAACAAAAGTCATACATCACTATCGAAACTTTTTAAGTATGTATCCCACCGTTTAAAACAGTCATATTTGTTGTTGAAGAAACAAATGATAACTAATTATGAGCTTTGAGCCTTTTTCTTTTTGTTTGATGTACTGGATGTACAAAATATAAACTTGAACTCTGTAAAATGTCAACATCTTTTCTTTGAACTTATTCATGTGACCCTCCCATCCACAAATGACTATAATTCGTATCTTAAAACCATAAGCAAATATTATAACTGAAGACGTATTGTTCAAATTAAAATATCAAGTAAAAAATTGGGCAACACACCAATAAAATAAGTAAATCATTATTAAAGTCACAATTGAAATTCTTTAAGAAAGTAATACTTATTTTCTCCCAAGAATGAAACAGATTTAGCAGGAACAACTGAGGAATTATAGATTTATTTGTTTGTTTATTTAGGGTTTTCGTTTCATAATCTGCTCATCTTTTAAAGATGCATCATATAGCTAACATAAGCATGTGCCAAATTAATTTACCTACAGTGTGTACATTGACATTTTAGTTTATGAATGATATAAAAAAGTTAAACTTAACCTTTTTAGATTTTTCTACCTGGATTATTGAGCATGCATCAGGATATTTTATGAATGATAGATAATATTTACATAGCATAACTGACCTATCAAATGCATTCCTAAGATTAGAGGAAAAACATGTGACTCTATTGAGTAAAAGAAATGAGAACACTATTTATCTTCAACCATGTTATGTTTAAAATTTTAAGTGGTGAATGCATTATTATATTTTACAAATATCGTGTACAAATATACAACGAAACAATGATGATTTTTTTTTTACAACTAATTTAAAGAATGAAAAAAAAAAAAACCCCAACCTCCATTGGCATGAATTGGCTTTATTATTAAACAGTCGTAGACAAAAGCGTTGTCTCCTACTCTGCTCCTGTTTCCTGGAATATCTTGCAAAAAGATCTGAAGCTCTTGACCTCGACCTCTCTAAGTGGTTCCAAACATCTGTTAAAGTTCCTGGAGCAGTGGGCAGCTATTTAAGTGCCCGGGGAGCAATTCGGGATTCGGAGTCCTGCTCAGAGACACCACGAGATGAGCAATGACCGGGGATCGAACCCAGGACTTTTGGGTCCCGAGTCAGCTGCCCTGTCCCTACACCATCTCAGCCCCAATGTGATAAATGTAATACTTTCAGGAAAATACAGATGTATATAAGATAAGTTATGGGACAAATTATGTCAAACGAAAATGTGTTAGTAAGTTTGCTAATATGAGTACCGTTTTAAATGTGTCAAATCACAGGAAATAGGAAACCCTCTATAATTTTATATAGATTTCTGCATCAGTATGCCTCAGTACGTCTGGATAATTGTGAGATCATTTACAAAGGAAAAGTTATAGGAGGAAAATACACAGAGTGCATATATCTCCAGTACTTTTGGGATAGTGCTTCTCAAATGTGTTTACAAAACCTGCTTAGCAAAGAAGACTACCTGCGTTAATGTTCTAGCTGGGATGTGTGCTTCATCTCGATGTAATCAGATGGCCAAGGAAAAAAAAAGTAAACAGCATGAGTGTAGACAAATATTCTCTGCAGCAGGTGCAACCTTAGACCAGTTATTTCCATTGGGATGAATACAACAGTCAGGAATGAATGGTATCATTATCCACAAACATACAAAGGCAGCAGTGCAAGTACACATCAGTATACAAGCAGAAAGAAATGTAGACAAACACAGACAAATCTATCCTGTCAAACAAACAAACAAACACACAACTACACACAAAGCTTTTTGCGAGCAGTTGACTTTGGAACAAATCAGCCAAGGAGGAAATGTTAAAGGACAATTTCTTGTCTGTGTATTGCCTATTTCTACAGTCATGCTGGCAGCACGTTTACTGAGAATGTAAACAGATGGCAGTGTCTTTTTCTTATCAACATAAATGTGGAAAAAAAAAAAAAAAAACACACATATTTAAACATATATATATACTTTAAAAGGTGATTTTTAGGTGCTTTGCGTCAGCAGCTGATGAAATAAAATAAAAAAAAAGTTTTTTCCAGGATGAACCATTTGGCACTTCATAGACAAACTGCTCTGGATGATTAGCATTTTGTGAAACAAGAATAACATACAAGCTAACAGAAAGGATATTCAGAAGGAGGATGATGTGAGACTCAGCCACAAACTGAGCTTGGCTGCTGCCATGGATGTAGCTCTGTGGGACAAAAAGACAGATGCATTAGTTTGGCACGCCTCTTTTAAATATACAACTCACTCAGTTAATCAGTTGGTGAATTTTGTACAACGAAGAAATAAAACTTTGCAGAGCAGGAATTCAAGGATGCAAAAAAACAAAACAAACAAAAAAAAACAACCTCTTGCACAAACTATTCTTTTTGCCATACTTTTTATATAATGGATTATAAGAATAAGGCGGCACGGTGGAACAGTTGGTAGAGCTGTTGCCTCTCAGCGAGAAGGTTGCCGATTCAAATCATGGCCCAGAACCTTTCTGGGTGGAGTTTGTATGTTCTCTCAGTGCATGCGTGGGCTTTTTCCGGGTACTCCGGTTTTCACCCACAGACCAAAAACATACGTTAAGCTGACTGGTAACTCTAAATTGTCCCTAGATGTGAGTGAGAGAGAGAATGGTTGTTTGTAGTTTGTCTCTATGTGTCCCTGTGATGGACATGCGTCCCGTCCTGCGTGCCCCCCGCCTCTTGCACAGTGAAAACTGGACATGGACACCAGTGACTCACATGACCCAAAAAGGAAGAAGCGGGTAAAGATAATGGATGGATGAATGGATGGATCTTTTATTTACCTAATGAGATCACATCTATTTTTCCAGGGATGATTGGGCCTGAAGGCAGAGCTAAACATATATGTTTTTGGACTGTAGAAGGAAACCAGAGTACCTGGAGAAAACCCACACAACATGAGAACATGCAAACTCCACACAGAAGGACGTCAGGTCCAACCTGAACCCAGGATGTTTTCTGCGGTGACTAAGTAACGTGTTGCCCCAAATGATGCAAGGCCTGTCAATTAAAATTGCCCACTTTCACACGGCTATTAAACTATGCTCGACCAACAGGAATGTTTTTTTGTAAATGTCTGAGTGACCACACATATAATGCTTTAATTTTATTTTCTGTAGTGAAAAAAACAAGTTGTAAAGCTGGTACAATTTTACTTTTAAAATTGCACATTGTAGTATAATGATGGCTGTGTAGGAGAAAACAAACCCAAACTATACAAAATACACTTAAACACTAATTTTGTGAACTTCTGCAGCTTATGAAACTAAATAATGAATCATTACATTTCAAGTACAATAACTGTCCTTGACAAAAGAGAAATGTTATTTGGATGCAGCAATTTTGTTTTTCATTTTCAGGCTTTATCACAGCTTTTGTTTCGTCAAAATAAATGAAGAAAAGTGGTCTAATAAATGTATCTGCAAAGTCTAGGATGCTGCATGGACATTAAAAAAAAAGATTTTATGTATGCAGACACAATCTGAAACTGGAGTATGTGCATTTAACTACAGTAATTAGTTTGGACGGATATGCACTTAAGCCAAACTGTCTGTTGAGTTTACAAATATACCGGTAAGTTAGATTTTATTCACTAAGTGAACAGCAAGGTCAGCCTGAACCAACAACAGAGCTCACACAGACACAGAAGAATGTATTAGCATATTTTCATGGCCCAACTCCATTTTATTATTTTTAAAGAGGTGAAATATATCAGAGAACAACAACAACAACAACACAAAAAAATACAAAAATCTCAATAAACCCTTAAAATTTTAGTGTTTTTTAATTTGCTTGTTTTGTTTTTACTCTAGAACAGAAATTAAAATGTTGAGTTAGATTTTTTTATTTTTTTTTACGGTATAAAAAAAAAAACATCTGAAAGATGTCAGCAAACTTGGAGTGGAACAGAAAGTAAAGTGAATGACTGCTGTTGAGGGAACAAAATGTTTTATTCTTTTACTCTTTTATCATCTATGATGGGCAATCAATCACTTTATGCATGGAATAATGTAGTTATTATGCAAGCACATTTCACAAAAGTTGAGATACATTGTAGAAGTCATGACCCAATATGAATCTAGAAATAAGTTAAATCACTCTGTATCAAGTGAATTAAATACATATATTTGCCAAGAATGTCTGCAGAGGCTGTCACACAGTGGTGTATATGAGTGTATGCCAACATATGAAAAATGAAAACATGCTGGTCCAAGTTTTTAATACGTTACCAACATGTAGATATTTGATGCATGCACAAAATTTTCAGCGTATGCCAACGTGTTGCTGATAAGCTAGACATTAGTTACAGGTATGTGACAGGTAAGTTATGCACAAGTTCACACACGTTACATGTAACTTGCTCACAAGTCAACATACATTAGAAACCGGCTGGGAAGTTATGTAGCGTACGAGTAACTTACGGTATTTCTAACTTATCTGTAACTTGGGCGTTGCTGAGGAGAGCCATAAAAACGCAGTCATACACATGTATAAGTTTTGATTTTGCTAGGGACAAGTTATGGGTACGTTAGCCACACGTTAAACATACGTTAATATATTGTTCAAGCTGTTACCAATACAGTACGTATAGGTCCGAAAGAGGCTTCTAGTTGATTTTTTTCAGTTCCATCTTTGGTATATTCCAATGTGCTGGACATAATTGTCATAACGTTATAGTGTGACAAGGCCTTAAATTATCACTCAGTTACTTAACGAGTGCTTAACAGGAAGTTCTTGAGAACAAAAATATACTTCATGCATGAAAAATAGGCAGTGTGTTCACAACTTTTACTGTGATGATGCAAGCAATATAATGGGCTGCACTGCAAGCAACTGTTTGAACAGAGACTCCTCTTATAGAGCATCACTGTGGCATTGAAATTAATAATTTTACTGAAAGCATAGTCTGTAGCAACAACGTGTTTCCAATTAGGATTCCTACTGCATGAAAAAAAACAACAACAACTAAATATACAGTCCAACTCCAGCTACTATAGCTATGGTTAAAAAAAAAAATGCAACTTTAGACTAAACAACTAACTTCACATAAACCAACTGTGAGCTATAAAGTAAAAGAAAAATGTATGACTGGAGAAATGAGGTATTCAACTATTTATGTTTTGCAAGGGTTTATGACTCAGCCAAAGTTCAACTTATTCAAAAAGATCAACTAAAGATAGACTCCCACAGAGAAATAACTTGGAATCAGGCTGCACCAGAAAGCTTTACTGATAAAAGACAACAAGAAAAACAAAACAAAGACCCAATGTGACTGATGTCTTTCACTAAAAAATGAGAAGAGACAGAGAAACAGACAAAGAGAGACAAAGTAGAGTAGAAATGAAGCAAACATAAGATTATTAGAATCTAAGTTCATGGTACACAGGGTCTGGTTTTCCACTTGACTAATGCAGGGTTTAGGGATGGAGCAATGAATAGAAGAAGACAATAGAGGTGGACACATCGTCTTGCTTCAGTGGAAAGCAATGAAGAATTTTCCATTTGAAAGCAGTGCACACAGACTGAAACAGATCCTTTTTAGTCAATGCAAACTTACTATTCTAGTTTAGCTTTTTAGATACTTGTCAAGAGGCAGTGCCTTATAGATTGACAAGTCAAAACGCATTTAGTTGAAAACAGAAAAAGATTGTTTGCAAACTTTAGCTAGAACTGATTTAGACCAGGGGTGCTCACACTTTTTCCAGCAGTTAAAGTGATCTACCTACTATAAGGCCCCGTTTACATAAGAACAACCTCTGGAAACATTTGTGTTTTTTCAATATTTATTAGGGGTATAAGCAAAAAATGAGGGGGAGTTACATGAAAACACTGTAGTTCCTATGTCAGTCTGGTTGCCAGATAAGAAATTATGAACTATAGTACAGTGGCTTTAAAATTATAGTATTTTGAACTAAACTGTCATATGTGTTGAGTAAAGATATTTTAAGATGAGGTGTGTGTTGTGTTTGATGAACATGTGCACAGAAAAGGAGGAAGTAAATAAGACATTTTAAATTTATCTGGCAACCCTAATGCCAGGCAAAGCTGCATTTGTTGTGCATGCAGTGTTTGCATGACAGTTAGGTCCAAACTGGTGAATGCACAAACGTCTCCTTTGACCATGGATTTTATTAGTTTTGCTCCTATATGCTGAAAAAGGGTGGGTAGCACAAAAAAAAAAAAACATCTGCTCTCTGCCATTTATTATAACTGTTGTTAGTGCAGATACACTTTTGACTGCAGCTGCCTGTAGTGAGCAAGTGTGACCTCACACTTGTGGAACATTTGACGCCTCTGTGGGGGGTTCCCCCCGAAAATCTCCACTCTGAGACCTGGATTCAGAAACCTTCGATTTCAGAGAGAAACCGGGCTGTCGTGTAAATGAACGGCCGAACCGCAGCCTTTACGTCTTGTAAACGGGGTCTCAGACTGGCTGCTCTGTATGTCAATCAAGTGACAAATTTCATAGTGAGGATGGATGATAGGCTGATGTCTACTTTTTTAAAATGCCAAAAAATCTACCCAGCCTACCTTTGTGATCGACCGGTAGATCATGATTGACGTATTGGGCACACGATTTAGGCAATTAAATGTATTTTCAATCACTAACAATAGGCCTGTTGTTGGAGGAAAATATTCTTGCTTTATCTTATTTACTATAAAGACGCTTCACTCAATGACCAGAGAAGATTTTTAACTGGTCTTTACTTGCAAGGACAGCTTCTCAGGGCAGGTTAAACAGATATACAGGAAGTACATACATGCAGCCCAGTCACAAGAATCTGCCACAGTCAGTGTGCAAAGTTTGTTTTTATACACTTATCAGTTCAGCTGAGCACACAGACTCTGAGGCATCCATGGAGCAACAGGGCACACTGTAGCCTCATCCAGCTCCCCATCCAGCTCTTTGCTAACCCAAACATATGGTTCATGCATGGGCAGAGTTAACATTCACAGCCATAGTAATTAAAAACATCCATAAACTTTGACCAAAAATTCCCCAACACTGTCCAACTTGTCAGTTTTAAGTCTTTCACCTACAAATCCCAATAATGGAAAAAACAAAAAAACAAGCCTGCTGTTAATCATAAAGACACAATGGAACCTTGATCATGTGTTACACATTATCTTTAGAGGTAAATCATCTGTATGATGAAAACAGGAAATCTGATAA